TTTTTTTAATAAACGAAAATTTCCACCCAGGTGGGATTCGAACTCACGACCTTTAGATTTAAAGGCAGGCGCTCTTACCACTGACAGAGGCTTTAACTTTTTTGTATAATAATGTACAGTATCATAACTTTTTCAATTAGAAAAGCTGAAAAGGTCGGGTTCGTTCGGAAAAATATTCCCATGAGATTTTTTTGCATAATCACTTTCATGAGATACCCCAAAATAACGTTTAGTAGGTCACCCAGGTGAAAGGTTACAATTTTTTTAAACAATTTTTTTAAACAAATTGTAGCAATCAATTCTTTTGGCTTTGACAATTTTTTTTAATTCTCTTAACAAAATAAGTATCTTGTAGTTTTTCTGTAAACTTTATCGTTAAAAATCATTATTTTTGAATTCACCAAGGATCTAAATTTAAGTTCTAACCTTGTTCTACCATTTCTCTATAGGTATTTTGACCTATTATTTTTAAACATTGTTTTTAATCGTTAATAAAGCAAGTATGACAGGAAGGGCACTCGGGCTGTGGCGTGTATAAGAGAGAAATAAGATCTAGGGCACAAATTTTTGCTCGTTTAAATTCTAATTGTACAAATGCGCGCCCGCCCTGCTATACACTCTTTATTATCAATTAAAAAACAGCGGTTTGATAGTTATTTATGCACCAAGGGTGTTAATAAGATGATTACGCCTGGAGGGCAACATAATCCAGCCAGACTATCTCCGGCCAATAAGAATGAAAAATCTTAAATCATAAAAGATTTTATTTTTCACTTCGCATAATAAAATAAAATTGAGACATTTTACTTTTTGCTATACTGCATGTACAAAGTATATATGCGTATTTTGTATGCACTACTCGTATTACCGGATGATTACGCCCAGAGGCCCTTTGGTTGGATTATGTTGCTCTCCGGGCATAATCGTCTCATGGGAATATTTTTCCTAACGAACCAGAGCTTTTCGCGTTGTCTAAAATTTTTGGTTGTTACTTTGATATTTTTGTTTAATACAAATTGGTATATGTCGTATTCAAACGATTTGTCTGATTTGATATGAAGTTTTCATTATTAAAAATAATACAATGAATCAGTGGAAATACTGATATTATTTTTTTACACGAGCCTTGTTGAGCCAACTACTGCACAAGTATTTTTCCCAAGCGGCAATCACTTTTATGTTGTGTGATGCGTTATTTTAACCACTGTGATGTTTTTCCACTGTAACTTTTTGACATTCTAGACATGGTATTTCATATATATATATATATATATATATATATATATATATATATAAATATTTCTTACATAGAACATTTCTTCTATATAAAGTTGGTACTGGGTCTTTGATATTTGAAAGTAGTTGTTTGCTATTGTTGTCAATAGTCATAATTAAAAGTGATATTCAAAATTAATCACTATATTAATGAGGCATTTTTGAAAATATCAAGATACATTTATTTTTAATTCATGAATGTACTCTATCAAGCGGTTATTCAAAATACTTTCAAAAATTTTACCAAGAATGGGAATAATAGAAATAGGGCGATAATTTTCAATTTTAATCTTTGTAAATGAGTATATTTATTTAAAAAACCCTTAAAAGGGCCACATCAATAAAACAAACGTTTTCGGACCACACAGTCCATCATAGGTTTTTAAAATCGAAAAATGCTAGGTCACAATGCCTGAGCCACCAAAATACTAGGGTAAAAACCCTTTAAATTACATTTAGTTATGAAAGATTGTACATTGTGTTGTAAAATAACTGTGATGTTCAGTATTAAATTAAATTTGACTAGAGGTAACACATGGCTCAATCTGGTTCCAGAGCCGGTGAGAGAGAACCTCTACACTCGGAGAACAGCTGGGAACTTAGATTGATTTAACTGGGAGATTGTTTTAACATTTGGGTGCCTTTACATGTTATGTGTCTTCTGAATATCCTATCATTGTCAATTTGATCAGATTTTATTTTTAAATTCAGGAATTGAACACAATGATCAGCAAGGCATGGGTCTACAACACCACACCCAACTATTTCATTATCTATATTTGTTAAAATATTATCTAAACAACTTGCTGATGTAGCAGAGTTCCCAGCTGTTCTCCGAGTGTAGAGGTTCTCTCTCACCGGCTCTGGAACCAGATTGAGCCATGTGTTACCTCTAGTCAAATTTAATTTAATACTGAACATCACAGTTATTTTACAACACAATGTACAATCTTTCATAACTAAATGTAATTTAAAGGGTTTTTACCCTAGTATTTTGGTGGCTCAGGCATTGTGACCTAGCATTTTTCGATTTTAAAAACCTGATGATGGACTGTGTGGTCCGAAAACGTTTGTTTTATTGATGTGGCCCTTTTAAGGGTTTTTTAAATAAATATACCCATTTACAAAGATTAACCTCTTTTTGTTATACGTGGTATACAGCCAGCTACAGGAATCTTTGCTTGTGGATTTTAATTTTCAATTTCTTCTGGAGATCCTTTTTTGAGTAGCGGTAACACTTGCGGTTGTTACTTTTAATACATCGGGAAAGATTCCTTCGATAAGACAAAGATTATAAAGTATGACCAGTTTATCAATAATAATATCCAGAGTTTCTATCACTAATTGTTTGTTTAAGAAGTAAAAATCAGTGCATTTTGAGTTTTTCAAGCTGTATAATGTATTCCTAACTTCAGTATCACTAACAGGTGTTAAAAACAACGAGTGGCAAGGGGAGTATATTCCCTCCAAAAAATTCATGGCATCATTTTCATCTGTCTCATCTAACGAGTTCAATATATTTCCCGCTACCGAAGTAAAGTAATTATTAAACTCGTTTGATGAAATATTACATGAAGTTACTTTTTTATTTTGAGTTTTATTCCTATGATAATTGATGACTTTCCAAGAATCTCGAGATATATTGTCAGATTTTAAGAAAAACTGCTCATATGCCAGTTTTTTCTTTATTGATATTGTTAATTGATAGTGTTTTTTGAATTGATTATACAGAGTGTAATCACTAGTAAGGTTAGCAGTAATTTTTATCTTCGAAAGGTTTACTCGCATTTTCCTTAGTTCATCGTCAAACCAAGAAACAGGTGCCTCAAAATGAATTCTTGACTTTTTTACTGGAAAGCAAACTTCAGTTAATTTTACATATGTGTCAATTATGAACTCAGCTAATTCCGTTGCTGTTATTGAATTGTTTATTAACGACCAATCCACAGATTTTAGTGATTGTTTTAACATTTGGGTGCCTTTACATGTTATGTGTCTTCTGAATATCCTATCATTGTCAATTTGATCAGATTTTATTTTTAAATTCAGGAATTGAGCACAATGATCAGCAAGGCATGGGTCTACAACACCACACCCAACTATTTCATTATCTATATTTGTTAAAATATTATCTAAACAACTTGCTGATGTAGCAGTGATTCTTGTAAATTCATCAATCTTCATAGTTAAACCAAAAGAAGAAATTAGATCGGAAAAATATTTTAATTCATTTGAAGTGCCTTTGAAATCAATATTGAAATCCCCAATTATAATTGTTTGAACATAATTATTAGAACAGAATATTAATAATTTTTCAAATAGGCCTAAGAAAATTTGGAAATCTGCGTTACCTGTTCTATACACTGATACTAGAATAGTTTTTATATCTATAATTTCCAAAGCACAAAATTCACCTTCATATTCACAAGATATATCATTCAAATAAACTGGACGTGTAGATATTTTGCCATCGCAGAAAATAGCAACACCCCCATGTTCTCTACTTTTTCTACAGTAACAAGTTGATAAAAAGTATCTGTCAATTATCACTGTTGTTAATTCAGATTCTCTAAGCCAATGTTCAGAAAAGCACAAAATATTGTAAGTTTTATCTTTTAAAAAAATGTTAAGTTGATCAATTTTATTTAATAAACTTTGTGTATTTATATGAAAAATGCTTACCAAACTGGTTTGGTCAGGATTTACTACCAACTTTTGTTTATCAGAACTTATCATATCACTTTCACAAAAACAGGTGTTTCCTATATTCTTTTGCACTACCGCTGATTCTATTCGTACACTTTTATCTACATCTCTTGCGGCTTTCTGGGTGTTACGTGAAAAAAACGTTGTACGTGAGCTCCACATGGCCGTTATAAATAAAGTAATTCATTTTATCACAAATAATATATAAAAAAGCGTATATATTTTCAGGAATGGACAGAAAAGAAAATGCAAAGACTTAGAAGAAGAAGTTGTATTAAGAAATAATAATTAACTACTACTATCTTCTTGAAGATTAATTATTATTTTATAAAAAACTAAATCTAAAGGATATTCCTTTTCCATAAAAAACTGTTCAAAACATTTAGCGTGTTCACATCGTTTTTCCCACACTTCATTTGAAAATGTTAAAAAAAAATCATCGCAAAAACGATCAGAACTAAACTTAAAGTCAACGTTTTTTCAGCCACGTATTTCTTACGAGATACCCATATACTATCTCTATGGTATTGAGATCTGGATGATAAGGAGACAGCCTTAACACAGAATGCCCACTATTACCCAATATCCTGTCATTTGCATAACCTTATACCTGGGATTATTGCTTTGTACAATGCTGTAAAGATCAACTTTTAACATTATGATCTAGGTTTCCCTAGTTACAACTAGTGGTTGTAATAGGTATAATTAGGCACCTCAAGTGGCGCCCTATATTAAATTCCTTGAGGTGTTTCCTGTTTATTTTTATTTTGTTTATCCCAAGAGATTAATGACCCCTTTATTTCATTTTTTGTAGTTGCCCCAATCCAACCCCCTTATCTTTTACTTATCCACGACCCCAGCTCTCCTACCAAACCCTGAGTGCCGTTCGCACAAGTAGCGATTATTTTGCTTGCCTTATATTCACCCCTTTAGTTTCAGTCCCCAATTTTATACTCCATAATCTTACCCCATGTGGTAGGCAAAATAGTTTCGTTACAGTTTAAAAAACAAAATTTAAATAAAAATAGCCACCAAACTTTAATATGTTCCTAAATTATTTTTATTTTTTCACAGTTTCACAATTTTTACAAAAAATATATTTTTCTGTTACTGGCATATCCCATTGATACAAAATGATCCGTCAGCACAAGCAGCACTTATAGATGAGCAATCTTCTCCTTTTTCTAAAACAAAAATTCATTAGCTTATATAGATATCCACCAAAGAGAAATTGGGTTTTCTAAATAACATAATATCCTATACACACAATAATGAGTAAAAAGTACACAGTATAATAATGCAGAAAATAATATGACCCTTTTATGTAGTCGATTACATAATAGATACATGAACGTTATAAAAAAGGATGTTATGTCTAAGGAGTTTTACAGACAGAAAGTAGTCATTCCTAATGAAAAGAGATTAATGAGTTTATGTATACTCGAATATCACTGAAGCACTCACTTGCCTTTTGTGATTAGATTTATTATTACGTTGTGTAGACCTGTCCCTCATTTTCAGATAATATAAATACCGAATCTGGTTGGGAGGTTGTAGATTGTTTCTTTGAGAAGTATTCGTTTTTATGATTGGTAGGTTGCTAACCTTGTCAATAATACTCCATATTTTAAGCGGGCTTAAAACCGGCTGTGGTAAACTCAGAGCTACTCAATCCATCCCGTAATTATCCCAGGCGGTAGAATAAATTTGCCAAGATGTAAATTGGAGCTGGAAGATCAGATAATAAAACAAGTGATAGATCTAAATATTTAGGCATCACATTATCTAACTGAGTCACATCACATTATCTGCAGGTTACCTGAAGTGTGGGAGGCAACACGTGATGTGGCGGAGTGGACGAAGTCACTAATCCCGAACCTTCGAAGCTGGGTGGACTGTGGGCATAGGCAGCTGGATTACTATCTAACGCAAATGCTCACAGGCCATGGCTGCTTCCGCAGCTACCTTTTCAGGTTTAGGAGGGCTCAGTCCGATCAGTGCCTTTACTGTGGTTTCTCGGACACTGTGACACACACCATGTTGGAGTGTGAACGTTGGGCGGATGAAAGAGAGAAGGTTGTAAGAGAGTGTAACTGCAGAATGTTTGATTCCATGAGAGAAATTGTGGAGAAAATGATGAGGGATAAGTGGTGGTGAACACGGATCCACAAATTTGTCAGGGAGCTGCTCTCCTCAAAAGAACGAGAAGAGAGGGAACTCGCAACAGAATTTTAAGATAAGCGAGTAGCACTTTGGTAGAGTTCGGACTGTCGCAGGCGGAACTAAGAGTGAGTAAGAGACAGACGACGTGAGAGAGATGGCAGCCTCGCTAAGGCAGGGGGTTGAAAGTCCTTGGTGGTTCGTGTGGGTGTGGTTTCCTGGATGAATGTGTCGGAGAAAGAATGGGAATCGGGTGATAGCAGGGCATCGGGAGAGATGTATGCCTTAACTGGCCCTTCCATCCTGATATCTGGTGTGACAGAGGAGAGGTTTTTAGTTGGACGCCGACCGTCTCGGAGTGGTGACGGGGCGAGGTGTCAAGGGTCTAAATTCCTTGGGCATCTCGCCCCTGCACAACTTCGCTAGGGTATTAGGAACCCAACACTACCTGTGTGAGTCACAGGTGTCTGTATGCAGATTTTCCTTCTTCTCTTTAAAGATGTAAAAAAAGGTACCTGAATGAAATAATATGGAGAAATAAAAATGTCGGGAAAGAAATAAAAGGCAGAATTTACAAAACAGTCATCAGACCAATAATAACACGCAGCAAAAACACGACCTGACATAGAGAAGACAAAAAGGATGTTAGTAACAGCAGAGATAAAAACACTGAGAAAAATTGTTGGTAAAACACTATGGAATAGAGCTAGAAGTACAGATATACGACGTAGATGCAAGGTGGACAACATCAAGCACTGTGTAAGAAATATAAGAGGAAGATATAGGAAGACGACGAAAACGATGGAACGGCAATTTACTAGAGGCACATTGAAAAACAGACAGAGCCATGTCTAGATCAAAAGAAGAAGAAGACAAATACCGCATACATGTTAAACTTAGAAGTAGTAACATAAAAAACATATAAAGCGAACATTGTAAACTTTTTAAATATTTGTTTTATGTTCCAGATATTTTCTTACCCAAAACTTATAATAACCAGATTGGATTGGCAATCGAAATGCAAATATAAAATGTCAATCATTCCATCAATGATCCTCATCATCATATTTGGCTCGACAGTCCTTTGTGGATCCTGGCCTGTTCCAAGATTCGTCCCCATTATGTTCGATTTCTGACTACCTGCTGACATCTTCTGATTTTTAATATCCCCAAGTCGGACTCAACTCCATCTAAGCCCATCTAAGTCACAGTGCTTTAATAAACGCTAGGATGTTTGGTTCATTAAAGAGTTTGAATAATTCGAAGTTATATCTTTTGCTCCATTGCCCTTGGTCGTTTATAGATCTAAATTATTTGCGGAGTATTTTAAGCTCGAATACTTTTAAAAGCCTTCTGAGGGCCGGCCTTAGCAGTGTTTTAGATAATAATTTTAGTTCTTCGTTGATTTGTTGGTAGTAGTTACTACTTAGCCAAGGTATGTGAACCTGTTCACTCGTTTAAAGATATGACTTCCAAAGACTGTTTTATCATTTGCTATAGGATCCTTAGTAACCAACACGTACTTGATTATATCTTCGTTGATGACTAGACCGACCTATTTTGCCGTTGTTTCCAATGAAATAAAATATTGTTCAACATCTCGTTTGCTACGCCATATTATGTCATTACCATCAGCCTATGCTAAGATTTATATCCATTTATTGCAAATAGTACCGCCATCTCTTATTCGTGTGTCTAAGACCGCTTTTTCCAAGGCAATATTAAAAGCCATCTGAACAAAAAATATTGACGGTGGAAGCAGCGAAATCTGCCTCAAACAGAGAGAACGAAAAAAAAAACATAGAATCTGTTATATGGGAGGAAGTTTGTGGAGGTAAAAATTTTTTTCTGATGGTGAATTTGAAGCGGTAGATAGATATCAATAATGGCAAAATATCAGTAGCTCACTTAAAATTTGATCTTTTGAACACACTAGTTTTAATCAGTTTGGATTAAGTTGAAATAATAGATGTTCCTAATTCAACATTGATAATGATAAATAAAGATGGTCTAGTACATAATCAATTACTATTTAACTGTTCTCAAAATACAAACAGTAAATTTTAAGTATTTTGAGAAGCTTTGATCAAGTTTTGATCAAGCTAAACAAGTTGCGGCAATACCCCCTATCTCAACCTCTTACTATTACAGAACTAAATAACTCCTTACAATATATGAAAAACTCAAGTCCAGGACCCGACAATATTCCTGTTGTATTCCTAAAGCATTTATCAACCTTAGCAAAACAACATCTTTTGCAAATTTTCAATCAAATTTGGCAGCAACGACAATATCCGTCTATATGGGCAAAAGCCACAATTTTGCCGTTTTTAAAATGCAGAAAACCTCGACTTGATCCAGAATCATACCGACCCATCTCTCTAACATGTGCCATGGCTAAATTAATGGAGAAAATAGTCAATGCCCGGCTTATGTGGACACTGGAAAAATCTCATTTCTTCTTATCAGAGCAAAACGGCTTCAGACGTAACCGGTCAGCAATTGACAACATCGTAGACTTACAAAGTGATATCCAAGAAGCGTTAGCAATGAATCAAATGTGCATAGCTATTTTCTTCGATCTAAAGAAAGCCTTCAATACATGTTGGAGATTTAACATCATTAAAAAATTGCACGCATCCAATATTAGAGGACATTGCTTAGCCTATATCGAAAACTTTTTAAAAGACTTTTCTTTCCAAGTAAGAGTTAACAACGTTTATTCTGATTTTTATACTGCAGAAAACGGTACCCCACAAGGCTCAGTAATTAGTCCTACCCTATTCTTAGTTGCCATAAACAACATATTAAACAAATTACATAAACCTCTCAAAGCTCGCCTCTATGCCGACGATTTAGTGGTGTATATTAAAGGAGCACAAAAGGAATCTATGTGCAGAATAGTACAGACATTTCTAACCCAACTAGATGAATGGACGGCTAGTACGGGCTTCAAATTCTCCGTTACAAAGACAACTGGTATGGTGTTTACGAAAAAATCATCCATTACACCAGTCCTTTATCTTCACAACAGCATCATTCCATTCCAAAACTCCGTGAAATTCCTTGGTATGTGGCTGGATCAAAAACTTTCCTGGAAAAAGCACATACAACACTTGGCGCTAACATGCAACAAAAGACTCAATTTGCTTAAAACCGTATCAAATCGTTTCTGGGGTTCTGACTTCTCTACACTACTCCTGTATAAAACACTAATTAGATCCAAACTCGATTACGGTTCAATTGTTTATGCCTCTGAAACCAAGAGTACCCTAAAACCGTTAGATACAATTCACAATGCCGCACTTCGGATCGTTCTCGGAGCTTTTCACACTTCACCCATAGAAAGCTTATATTCTGAAACTGGAGAACCATCATTGCAGTATAGGCGATCACTTTTAACACTTTCACACGCTTCTTCTATAGCTGCTAATAAGGATCATCCACTCTTCGAAAATACTTTTTCTAAAAATAATCTTGACTTTCTCTTTAATAAACCTCGTACTGGAAAACCTTATTACACACGAGTAAGATCAATTCTGAATAATTTTGATACAATAATCCGAAACGTATTTCAGTGTAACATCCAACATCCGGCTCCATGGTTAATAAGCATCCCAAATTGCAACACTTCTCTAATAGAGTTCTCCAAAAAATACAATAACAACATACTAATTAAAAACAAACTAACCGAGATTCTTGAACGAGACTACCTTAACTACACAAATATCTTTACCGATGCCTCTAAATCTAATGATGGCATTGGTTGTGCATTTGTTACTCCAACGTCTACTTTCAAATTTAAACTACCGCCTAGCTCAAGTGTTTTCAGCGCTGAATTGTTTGCTTTGTACCGTGCCCTAAAATATGCAACCCTCTTAAGAATTTCAAATCCTCTGTTTCTCACGGACTCGCTCAGCTCTCTTCTTGCAATACAGCATCTGTATCCTAAACAGCCCCTGGAGCAACTAATAAAAACTGAACTACAAATCGCCCAAGAGAACCACATAACCCCTAAATTTAT